TCCTTGGGTCAGTGATAATGTGTGCTTTCTGTGGTTTTATTTATTCTGGATTATGTTAGGTATGTCTGATTTAATTCTAGCCTTCTCACTTGACTCTAAATCTCCTTGATCTGGGAAGAAATGTGCAATTGATGTTGAGTTTTCCCCCACTTCGTAATCTGCTCAGAAGCCCGATTTGTCTGAATTGCACTGAACCACTTAGTGAAAAACAGTCCTTAGCTGCCCTCTCAGCACTGCTGCACAAAACCCAGTTTAATTGCAAAATGTAATGATATTGTTTAACTCTCAGCGAACCAGCAAATCCAATCTTGAAACGTCGAGTATTGTGTGGGCTTTTTGGGGGGAAGACTCAAGGGGTGGGGTGTGAGGGGTGGACAGAATAGAGGGAACAAAAATGCAAAAAATAAATAGAACAGAACGATATAACCCAGCGAGCAAGCACCTTAAGATGTATCGGTACAGATGCTCTTCACGAGTAAAAGATGATCAAGAACTTCTTCATGCGGATTCCTTCTGGCTCCTCCTGGTGGAGGGAAGGGAAGCTCACCAAGACCGTATGGGGAGCAGCTAGAAGGTAGATACAGGGGCTGGGACGTAACGCACTTTCCTCCAGAGGGAGCAGGTTTGGGGTGTACAGTTGCCCCCATTCTTTATTCATTTAAAGGTCAATAAAGAAGCCAATTGAAGGACCTCCACTTTGATGCCCAGGCCCAAACATGGGGAGAGTTGCTGGACTTTTCCTCCTCAGACCCTGCCCGTGACATTGGCTCCTTCTGTTAACACCTCTCTGATCCCTGCCCACTTTTCTTTCCCTTCCCCACAGCTGTGATCCCACAACTTGGAACTAAGCGAGGGTCCTGGCCTCCTGAGGGTCTCCAGTCTTCACACTCCCGTTTTCACACTACTAACTAAGGGGTTGTTGGGTTTCTGGAGCGGGGTATACCTGGGTTCTTTGCTTTGCACAAGGGAAGAATTCACACCGAAGCACATTTCGTGATCCAAGTGAGTTTTTATGAAAGACAAGTTTCAGGTGTTACAATCTCAAAAGGTTACACGGTATTTCTGAGAAGCATGCCAACCCTCGCACTGGGGTTCGCACCTGGGTACGAAACCACCACGTGGGAAAGAGCACCCACATGTGCAGACTTGAGGTGGGGGGCGGGGAATGCCAGGAGGCCAGGAGCCCAAGAACCCTAGAGGCTAAGAGCATGTAGGCCAAGAGGCTGTGGGCCCAAGGTAGGTTCACACGGGGAAGGAAGACCCTCACTGTCCACCAGCCTCTGACCAGGAGCAGGTAAGAGAGAGCGAGGCCTTCCCATGGCCAGGGTATTTCAAACCTCTGGCTGGGGAGGCGTGGTTGATGGTATTGGTTGACCCCACTGGCTGAATTAGGCCCACTTGTGTGATGGGCCTGAGGTGGATGTGTCCAAGATATTGGTTTTACCTGAGCCTAGGGGGCTTATGTCTGCATGCTCAGTTTGGGGTCTTCGTATGGTTGCCTGATTTCTTTCCAACCTTCTCTCTGGGGGCCTTTGCAGGCAGGGGAGGGGTAGCCCCCCTGTCCCTAACTCTACCTACCCAATCTATCAGAAAGGTTTTATTTATGAGGAAACTGTGAAACACCTTGCAACATGGAGGGATTTGGAGGACATTAGGCTGAGTGAAGTCAGGCAGACACAAAAGGGCAGATATTGTGAGTCCACTGTTATTCAAAATAAGAATCACACTGAATGATACATGTCAACGTTATTAAATTGGAGAATGTCTTGTGTATATTTATGCCACAATTAAAAATAATTACACGAGTAACAATAACAAGGAAGAAGCAAGCGTTCTAAAATTGATTGTGGTAATGATTGTACAACTCTTCTTGATATGATTGAACAACTGGATTGTATGATAGGTGAAGTGCCAAAAAACTCTTAAAAATAAAATAAAAATCAAGAAAAGATTTTCATACCAAAAGAAACAGATTTTGATGGTTACCAGGAGGAAAAAAGGTAAGGTGTGAAAGGGAATCTATAGGCTAGAGGGCAGACAGCTATCAGCTAAAGTGAAAAACAAAACCAAATTCACTGCCATCCAATCCATTCTGACTCATAGAGAGGCTCTAGGACAGAGAAACTGCTCCCATGGGTTTCTAAGGCTGTGAATCTTTCTGGGAGTAGAAAGTCTCATCTTTATCCTGTGGGACAGCTGGTAGTTTCAAACTGCTGGCCTTCCAGCCAGTTCATAATCCACCACACCACCAGGGCTCCTCTAACTAACATGAAGGGGAAAATAATATACGAGAGAGATGGGGGTGGGGGAAGTCTGCAGGGAGGAAACAGGGCAAGCCATTGGGAGGTTTGATAAATTGTTGAAGCTGTTGACTGCAAAAAACAATGATCTGATATGTAGACCCCACCTCATTCACAGTATCATACTTGACGGGGAGAAAAGGCATTATTTGATCATTCTCCAGCCTTGATTACAATTCTTAAACAGTTCCTTACGTGTAGAAAATTATTCCAAATTCTCCAGAAATTCTCATTCTGTCACCTGCAGTTTGAGCCTGAACACGTCTGTATTTTAAACCAACCATACCAAATGATTCTGACGCACTGGTGTTCAGGTTTTGGAATGAGAAATGTTGTTTATAGGGAGAAGAATATCTTCCTAAGTGGAAGTGTATTTTCGTTGGCTGGTTTTCCCGGGAAGTAGCTTGTCTCAGTCTGGCAGCTCTGCTGGAAACCTGTTTAGCATCATATTATTATCCGTAGGGGGCTCAGCTCCTGGTTTAATGCTTCTCCCCTCTTAGTTCTTTCCCAGGAGAGCATTCAGGCCAGAGAGTCAGGGAAAAGGTTTGAATGGAGTTTCCGTGTGGAAAGGTGACGGTCCCTCAACCAATCTGAGGGTTCTATAGGATGGAAATTCAAGTGTTTATCCCTGGCTGGCTTTCTGTAGCATGTCTCTCCTGGAAAGGGGAGGCGCATGCATTCCAGAGTTCATGATGTGTCAGTATCACCAGGTCCAAAACCAAGGTCAATTCAACCACTGTGGTCTCCTCAACCCACACCCTTTCACTGTGTCCTCCTCTACTGATTGGGAAAAAAAAAAAAAAAAAGGTGTTTCCTCTGCCATTCACTTTCTTTTGTGCTGGGAAGCTAATGTGATAGAGGAAATGTGCCTTCACCTTTCATTTGTGCTAGAAACTCCTTCCATTGTCAACCTCTTTCCCCTTGTCCTGACTGTCTACTCAGCATCACGGCAAGCAAGCCTCCTCTGACAGATGAGAGAAGGCAGTACTTAGGGTGCATTGACCAAGAACTGAACTCCGGCACAGAAGTCAGGAATTCTACCACTGAACTCCACTGCCCCACCTAATTTGTCTATTATCTAGTTAATGTTAACGCTGTGATTTTCCGTTTTTGTGGATACATGCATGTCTTAGGCTAGGTTCACGAGAGAAGCAAAAGCAGTGAGGTTTACATTGAGGTTTCCATATGTACATAGAGAAATTTTTATCAAGGAAATTGCAGATCCAAGCAAGGCAAAATCTTCGACAACTTCAATCTTTTCTCCATTTACCATGATGTTACCTAACGGTCCAGTTGTGAGAATTTTTGTTTTCTTTACATTAAGTAGTAATCCACACTGAAGGCTGCAATCTTTGATCTTCATTAGCAAGTGCTTCAATTACTCCTTATTTTCAGTAGCAAAGTTGTGTATCCCAATGCATTATTTGATCTCTTGAAAGAGTAATTAGAGAATTTCCAGCTTCTAATAGCCGAGTGCCTTCATTTTATAGTTTTGGGAGCATACGAGAATTTTGAGCAAGCAAGACTACAGAGTTCCTTGAAAGACTAGGCTCGGGTCTTCATACTATTGGCCCAGGTTACGTTCCACTGTAATTTGTTCAGCTGTCTTCCCCCATCTTTAGTCGAATCCACATGCTAGGGGGTTCTCATCCATAGGGCAGTTTGAAGAGCACTTGCTCTGTGTCAGAGTCCACTCGATGTCAGAGGGCTTTGGGGACCTCTTTTGCACAATTTGAGTGTGTTTGGTTTGGGGACTGCATTAGGAATAGGAATGGGTCAGAAATCATTGTTTTCTTTTATTAGACATACTGGTTTTTCAAAACAACTGTATTGAAGTATAATTCATATGCTGTGCAATTCACCAGTTTAAATTGTACTCTCAATGGCTTAGTACAGTCACATAGTTGGTGCAACCATCACCACAGTTCATTTCAGAACATTTGCATTGCCCTCCCCCCCAAAAAAAACAACCTATGTTTATTGGCAGTCTCAACGTATTTCCCTCCAACCCAGCCACATCCAGGAAACCACTCACAAACGTTCTAATTCTACTGACATGCCTGTTCCGGACCTTTCCTGTAAATGGAATTATACGATCTGTTATCTTTCATGACAGGCTTCTTACACTTAAAGTTTACAAGATGTACTTACTGGGGCGGGGAGCATGGGGGGAAAGAGGAGCTGATACCCAGGGCTCAATAGAAAGTAAATGTCTAGAAAATAATGATGGCAACATATGTACAAATATGTTTGATACAGTTGATGTATGGATTGTAATAAGAGCTGTGAGAGCCCCCAATAAAATGATCTGGAAAAAAAAAGATGTACTTACTGTTTTGACTGGTCAAGGTAAGAATACAGATTAGAATTTGAGAAAATTCACTCACACTTCCACTCAGATGCTAGCATAGTTCTTTATTTCCTCCTGTATAGAAAGTTTATAGTTCTTTATTTCCTCCTGTATAGAAAGGCAGTCTTTCCATCTGATTGGAAATGGAAGAGAGAATACTCCCCGGTCTCTCCTACACACAGTCTTGCACTCCACGCCCCATCCTCCCGCTTTCCAGCGTCCAGCTGTGGGGCCCAGACGGGCGGAGGGAGAAGCGCCCCGCCCCTCCACGCCGGCGCGTCGCTTACGTCAGAGCTCCGAGCCGCAGTCCCCTCCCTCTGCCGCGGTCGCGCTAGTTTTGACAGCGCGCCATGGCGGCGACCGGGGCTGCAGGGGTGTCGGCGGCCGCGTCGGAAAAGCAAGAGTTTTACCAGCTACTGAAGAACCTGATCAATCCAAGCTGCATGGTGCGGCGGCAGGCGGAGGAGATCTATGAAAACATCCCGGGCCTGTGTAAGACCACGTTCCTGATAGATGCCGTCAGAAACAGAAGAACAGGGTTTGAGGTGAGACAAATGGCTGCCGCACTGCTCCGACGGCTTTTGTCCTCGGGGTTTGAGGAAGTCTATCCCAACCTACCTCCTGAAGTCCAGAGGGACGTCAAGATTGAGCTGATACTGGCTGTTAAGTTAGAAACACATGCTAGCATGAGGAAAAAACTTTGCGATATTTTTGCGGTGCTGGCCAGGAATTTGATAGACGAGGACGGCACTAACCATTGGCCCGAAGGTCTGAAGTTCCTAATTGACTCCATCTACTCTAAAAATGTGGTTCTATGGGAAGTTGCACTTCACGTTTTCTGGCACTTTCCTGGGGTTTTTGGGACTCAAGAGCGGCACGATTTGGATATCATCAAACGGTTATTGGACCAGTGCATTCAAGATCAAGAGCATCCAGCCATCAGGACCTTATCTGCTCGAGCTGCAGCTGCATTTGTGCTTGCTAATGAGAATAACGTTGCTCTTTGTAAAGACTTTGCAGACTTGCTGCCAGGAATCTTACAGGCTGTGAATGACTCTTGTTACCAGGATGATGATTCTGTCCTAGAATCCCTTGTTGAGATTGCAGACACAGTTCCTAAGTACTTGGGCCCTTACTTAGAAGATACTCTGCAGCTGAGTCTAAAGTTATGCGGTGACTCTAGGCTCAGTAATCTGCAACGTCAGCTGGCTCTGGAAGTAATCGTGACCCTGTCTGAAACGGCAACCCCCATGCTGAAGAAGCATACGAATCTTATTGCACAGGCTGTTCCTCATATACTAGCGATGATGGTTGATCTGCAAGATGACGAGGACTGGGTGAATGCTGATGAAATGGAAGAAGAAGATTTTGACAGCAATGCAGTTGCTGCTGAGAGTGCCCTAGACAGACTGGCCTGTGGGCTTGGTGGGAAAGTGGTTTTACCAATGACCAAGGAGCACATCATGCAGCTGCTCCAGAGCCCTGACTGGAAATGTCGGCATGCTGGATTAATGGCCTTATCTGCCATCGGAGAAGGATGCCATCAACAAATGGAAGCAACTCTAGATGAAATGGTTAATTCTGTTTTGCAATTTCTTCAGGATCCTCATCCCAGGGTGAGGGCTGCAGCCTGTACTACACTTGGACAGATGGCCACGGATTTTGCACCTAATTTCCAAAAGAAATTCCATGAAACAGTGATTGCAGCTCTGCTGCGCACCATGGAAAATCAAGGTAATCAGCGCGTGCAATCGCATGCAGCTTCAGCTCTGATTATTTTCATCGAAGACTGCCCCAAACCATTGCTAGCGATCTATGTAGATGGCATGGTGAAAAATTTACATTCCATCTTGGTGATTAAACTGCAAGAGTTGATTCGGAATGGAACAAAGTTGGCCTTGGAACAGCTTGTAACAACAATTGCCTCAGTTGCAGATACAATCGAAGAAGAATTTGTCCCATACTATGATATATTTATACCCTCTCTAAAGCACATTGTTGAGCTTGCTGTGCAAAAGGAACTCAAGCTTCTGAGAGGAAAAACTATTGAATGCATCAGTCATGTTGGTCTTGCTGTTGGGAAGGAAAAATTTATGCAAGATGCAACAAATGTGATGCAGCTGTTGTTGAAGACACAATCAGATTTAAATACCACGGAAGATGATGACCCTCAGGTCTCTTACATGGTTTCAGCATGGGCTAGAATGTGTAAAATTCTTGGGAAAGATTTCCAGCAGTACCTCCCATTGGTTATCGAGCCTCTCATTAAGACTGCTTCAGCCAAACCCGATGTCACTCTCTTGGACACACAGGACGTGGAGAATATGAGCGATGACGATGGCTGGCAGTTTGTCAATCTTGGAGACCAGCAAAGTTTTGGAATTAAGACATCAGGGCTTGAAGCAAAAGCAACTGCTTGCCAGATGTTGGTGTACTATGCTAAGGAGTTGAGGGAAGGATTTGCGGAATATACAGAACAAGTTGTGAAGCTGATGGTGCCCTTACTGAAATTTTACTTCCATGACAATGTTCGAGTGGCGGCTGCAGAGTCCATGCCTTTTCTGCTAGAATGTGCAAAACTGAGTGGACCAGAGTATCTTGCACAGATGTGGCAATTCATCTGTGATCCCTTAATCAAGGCTATTGGGACGGAACCTGATGCAGATGTCCTCTCAGAAATAATGAATTCTTTTGCAAAGTCTATTGAAGTCGTGGGAGATGGGTGCCTCAGCGATGAACACCTGGAAGAACTGGGAGGAATATTGAAAGCCAAGCTTGAAGGCCACTTTAAAAACCAAGAATTGCGACAGGTCAAAAGGCAGGAAGAGAACTATGACCAGCAGATTGAAATGTCTCTGCAAGACGAGGACGAATGTGATGTTTATATCCTAACCAAAGTATCCGATATTTTGCACTCATTATTCAGTACCTACAGGGAAAAGATTTTACCATGGTTTGAACAGCTACTCCCATTAATCGTAAATCTAATTTGTTCAAGCAGGCCGTGGCCTGATAGACAGTGGGGCCTGTGCATATTTGACGATATCATAGAGCACTGCAGTCCAACCTCGTTCAAATACGTCGAATATTTCCGGTGGCCAATGCTACTAAATATGCGTGATAACAACCCTGAAGTCAGGCAAGCTGCCGCGTATGGCCTGGGCGTTATGGCCCAGTTTGGTGGCGATGATTATCGCTCTTTGTGTTCAGAAGCCGTGCCACTGCTGGTAAAAGTCATTAAGTGCGCAAATTCTAAAACCAAAAAAAATGTCATTGCAACAGAGAACTGTATCTCAGCAATAGGGAAGATTTTGAGGTTTAAGCCTAACTGTATAAATGTAGACGAAGTTCTTCCGCACTGGTTATCATGGCTTCCGCTGCATGAGGATAAAGAGGAAGCCCTACAGACTTTGAGTTTTCTCTGTGACTTGATTGAGAACAACCACCCAGTTGTGCTTGGCCCAAATAATTCCAATCTTCCCAAAATAATCAGTATAATTGCCGAAGGAAAAATTAACGCGACTGTTAACTATGAAGATCCTTGTGCCAAACGCCTAGCTAATGTCGTCCGCCAGGCACAAACTGATGAAGAGATGTGGTTGGCATGTGTATCCCAACTTGATGAGGAACAGCAGGCAGCCCTACAGGAGTTGCTAAATTTTGCTTGAAGCACTTTAATGTCACTTGACTATCACTATAAAAGTAACTTCATATAAATGTTAGGGGTGGGGTCCATGATAATTGAGAGAACTATTTTCTCCCTGCTTTAACAGTTCATGCTTCGTCCCCACACTTTCCCAGGACAGTCAATGTTACAGCCGTTTGTTCATCTTGCATGTTTCATCTCTTAAACATTAGACCTTTGGTGACAACCTGTACTTCCACTGTCTTAGATTAATCCCCTATCCCCTAGTTGATAGGGAGTGTATCCATTTTTTGCTGTTTGAACTAGTGATCCTGGGCAAACAATATATTCAGTGTCACGGTGGCATGCTGAATGTTACAAGCTGCTGAGGACTCAAAGATAAGGTAGGGGCATGTCAGGACAACCATCAGAATTCTAGACAAAGAAGACTGTAGTGGCAGGTTTATTCCTACCTGCTAACACTCCTGGCTGTCATGAAAATGGGAGGATGCTGTTTGGTGAAATGTTGCAGTGGGTGTGGGGAGTTCATAACATAGACTTAGAAACTGGGTGGGACAGGCCCATATTTTAGTCGTCAAGGTGTTAATAACTTAAAAATCTTAACTTGACGGTTCTCTACTTTCATAATTATCCAGGATAATAAGAACCATGGTTACAGAAAAGGGAATCCAATACATCTAGCATTGGTAGCATGGAAAGTACTGAAACACAGGGTTTGACAAATAATACGTAATCAGTATGTGTGGAAGGAGTCAAGTGTTACATGTATGAACAGAGTATTGTTTTGTGTATATGTGCTGTTTCCCACCCTGCAAAGCAGCTCAAGAAGAGATGCCCTGGTTTGGATGGGGTTAAAATGTATTACTATTTTGAAGACTACTTAAATAATGTCTTTAGTAACACTGAATTATATCATGAAAGTGAAAAGAAAGGTAATTTTAGCCCTCAACATGGGGAAGAAAACAGTTGTGAGGGCCATTTAGCTGTAGATGTGCATTATAAAGAGAAACCTGTCCTCAATTCTATAAAGCTAGGGTTAATTATATTCATTGGAATGTTGGTCTTTGATGGTGAGCTTTTTGAAGGGTAGAAAAAAAGCTATTTGGTAAATCATTGATCCCAAAATTAAAGAGCAAATACTTCTATCGTGATTTCCTAGGGCTGTTTTATATGTAAAGTATGTTGCAAATATTTGACCTACTAAATGTTCAATAAATGGTAGCCGTTATTGCTGCTCTTTGTACCTCTGCTGTGTTCTTTGCGGTGGCTGAGAATGGCTTTTACCTCAGCATCTCCCTTCCTCACCAGCTACCAGTCCAAATGAGCATCCAACTAGGTCACTGTGAACAGGGATATGATATTGTGATTTTAGATAGGCTATCCTTTCTACTCCGTACAATAATTCCTTTTGTTGCATGTGTATCAAAAGTTAAAGACATTATGTGTAATATGACCACAATATTATTAAGATGAAAGACAGGTGAATAGAACAATTCCACGACAGAGGATTCATAGAGATAAGACTAAATGGTAATTTTTCTTTTCCTTTATTCATGTCTTATAATTTAGCTACAACATATTTCTTGTCGTTTTTCTTTTGTCTTTTTAGGTTACAAGGCCTGCCCTACTTTCCTAATAGCTGTCTCTATCACCGTAGCTATTCATGAAGGTGATAGAACTGATGTCCGTTCTACTCACATACACCTCTTGCACTTTTATACCCCTTAATTTAGAAGCCCTTGAGCAACTTTCCTAGCCGTTGCCTCCACTCCTGTTGGTGAAGAATAGGAAATTCTGCCAGGCAACTGGATTAGGCACCTGGAGGTTTGAGGGAATTCTGAATCTAGATCTGAAGCCTGACAAACTACTTTCTTAACCTAAGTATCCATTTATCTACCTGTAAAGTTGGATTAAGACTCATATGAGAAATAAAGGCGATAATGAATGTAACGTGGTGGCCCAGGGTTCAAAAATGGGAGCTAATATCCGACTCAAGGTGGTGGCCAAAGCAGAGGAAGAGTGCATAATTACTTGAGTAGGATAGGCCTCAGATTCTGGGACTCCCTTAAAGAGAATTAGGGAGGTTCCATTAGACAGGAGCCCTAGTGACACAAGGGTTATGTGCTCACCTGCTAACTGAATGGTTGGTGGCTTGAAGCCAGCAGTTCCGTGGGAGAACAATGATGCTGTTTGCTCCTATACAGACTCACTGTCTTGGAAACCCAGGGGGATGATTCTACTCTGTCCTATGCAATTATGAGTTGGAATCAATTCCATGGCAATGGGCTTTTTCCCCCCTTTAATACGATTTCATTATCAGGAGACTTGGCTGCTAACAAGAAGGTGGTATTTGAAACCCACCAGTTGCTCTTGGGAGATGTGGTAATCTGCTACTGGGAAAATTTACAAACTTGGGAGATCTGTATTATGGGCCCTGATGGTGTGGTTTATTATGTTGGGCTGCTAATCACACAGCAGTTTTAACCCACCAGCCTCTCAAATACGAGACTCTCTACTCCTCTGAAGATTTATAATCTTGGAAACCATATGGAACAGTTCTACTCATCTTATATAAGGTCCATATGAGTCAGATTGACTGTATGGCAGTGGGTTTATGAATCAGAATCCTTTTTGGGCATACTATTTCACCTTAGGACCCATAGTTAACTTACCAGATAGTGTTGAGGTTTTGAATTTCCTAAGTGCTTTAAAGTTCTCATCAGTGAGAAATAAACAGAGTCAGAATAACCCAATCACTTTAACATAACATTTACTTCCTAGATTTCTATAATTTATGTGTATTCAAATAATTCCAAATTTCAAGCAAGAAGGTTCTACTTAAGTAAAGTCATATGTGCCCCTTCCTAGAATACAGGAAAAACTAGGAATATCTGCTTTGTGGAATCACCTGTTCTCCCCCACTTATGTTAGGCAACATATAAATTGATATGAATGCTAAGTCCCCATTGTAGTCCTCCTGCAATTTAAAACAAGTTAGCTACCTAATGCTCTCAAGTTCAGACTTGAGATACTTGGTGACTTCTCTAGCATTGTTTCTTTACATTAGGCCCATATTCTTAGAAAAACTGTAACAGTTGAGAGTTTAGAAGTGTATTTTTAAAATTTTAACGGGAAAGATTCGTTTCCAAAATATGAATTCATGTTAAGAACCGAGGTCAGCATTTTCCCAAACCTGCTGTTCACATTCTGCAATCACCTCTTCGTCTTGCCTGTGAACATGTTTGTTAGTTCATTCTTTAACTTCCCTTCCCAAATTCCACATTTATATAGCAGACCAGCAGACACAGCGGGGGCTTGGGGGAGGAGTGGTACAAACTGCAGGCAAATTTTAGAATAGGCAGGATTTTGTGCTATCAATTTCTCATTAACAAAGATCATCTCTAGCTCTCTTTAGTTGATAGGGCTAATACCTCAGAGTGTCCCTATGGGTCCAGAATCGATTTGGCAACTGGAACCAGTGCAAGGCTGAAATAAGGTAGCCTCATCTCCGACTTTAAAAAGAGGCCTTTGGCTCTCTCCCGGGAGAGGGTATGTAAATCCGCGCAGGCGCTCGCTTTCCTCCTCGCCCCGCCCTTTACAGGCGCTACCTACTGATGACATCATTGGGTCGCGCAATGCTTACGGCCTCCAGGCCTATAGCGGAGCGAAAACGCCTAGCGGGGCGGGACTCGAGGGGGCGGGGCAACGGGCTCTACTACGCATGCGCATCAGGGATGGCGACGGTGCTCCTTTCTTTACCTTTTACTACAGCTCGCCCGGTCGGGGGTGCCTGAGTGCCCTCCCCCCTCTCTCTCTCCTTCTACCTCCCCCTCTCCCCGCCCAGTGGGGCTTCTAATTGACAGTTGTCGCCGGGCCAGTCCGCGCCGCCTCCTCCTGC